AGAAGAGGGGAACACACAACATTGTAATTCCTTGCAATCGAACAAGAATAGTTGAAATAAATTATGTATGCACCCAACCTCCAACTTGAATCCGAGACTTCTGGCATGACAACGTCCAACATGGATAAGAACTCTTTCATCCTCAGCTAATACTTTCTGCATGCAATTGAATCGAGCAAATGCGCAAAGTGAGTCATGGGTCTAAAGAGGATTGTTTAGAAAGCAAAATGGGTATTTCTGGACTCTTTAGAAGTCGGCGGAACTTGCCGTATTCAGATTGTCGCAAACAAGGGTGTCGGAAGCTGTGACTGGACAAGGCGGGCAGATAGATTCTGGCTAAATTGAACGCAATAGATTGATAATAACGTATTACTTTGCCATATGTTTAGTCTGACAAAGCAAATCTCTTTTCACTTCCTTTCGAGGCCAGGTAAAGATATTTATCAGTTGTTCAGGAAGCTTGGTATGATATGTAGCAAAGAACGATTGGGTACAATATATGAAGGAAAAAGTGAAGACTGCCAAAGCTTACAGACCATTGAAACTCTTCAGAAGACGTAGTATAAAAAGCCGTTTGAAAAACCCTGACTGAATTTTCCTTCTCCAATTTCTTTTTAAGATTCAACCTTTTATTTCCTGAAACATACCGTTTTTGCACCATCTTTGCATTCACCCATATGTGCAAGCTCGACGACGGTACCGTCCATTCTATGAACCTTAATTGCTTTTGTTTTTGTAAGAATCTCGTCTCGGAATTAAACTGTACCTTGCAAGCGAAGAATTTGAACAAACACATGTTTTTGTGGGTCCGATTATTCGAGTCACACACGGGATTTCTGGTCTTGTCACATTCGGCTGCTGAGCAAGGTTGAGTCAAGTCGAATGGCTATAAAAATCCGCTTCAAACCATAGTTTTCTCATATACGTTTAAGTTGCAGAGCTGATGATTTTAATGTTTCGGCCAGTAAACACAAGCAAATTTTTCAAAGCAATTGATTATATCTACCTGTAGGACAGAGGAGCCCGAAATCACAGGTGGGGCTGTGGAATACGTTGACTCTGAGTCATCTTCTTCCGAATCTTCAGTGATTGATGGCAGCCTGAAATGATATGTTTAGGACATCTTTGCAGAAGATATTTCTCAACTCCCAAGCACACTAATTAGACCGAAAACGCCCTCTTTTTTGCATAATCCTGTGGTTTCCGTATTCTAACACCTTTCCTTGGAATCATGTTGAAAGTATTCCATTTCAGGGTAGTGAGCGCTAACGTTTACATCACCCTAGTGTTCTGATGGGGTGGTATAGTGAGATGGCTCAGTAGGTGATAGAGGGTCACATCTTCAAAAAGTGCAGTTACCATATTCCACCCTTTGAATTGTTTTCATTTTGAATCGATGCAAACACGATAGTGTTAAGCATTTGCGCAGTAACTTCTTACGGATGGAGCCAGTGCAGTGGCTGATCTGACCTGAGCCTGGCCAAGAGTTCATCTGTGATCGTGGCCGGATATAGAACGTCATCGGCACTTGGCAGCACAGGTAGATCCCTCTCGAATGAGTTCAGAACGGTTTCGGCTTGTTCCAATTGCTCGGACTGGGTAATGATGTCAGCATCATCGGCGAACAGCGACGGTATCGCTCTCGCCCTGACAGCTCGTCTATCATGGGCTGCATGGCGAAGCTTTGCGTCACCGCTGTGTACGTTGTTCGGCTGCTTAACTGCCGGTTTAAGCAGTTCAGAATCTGAACATTCGTTGTAATTATTATTACACGAAGCAGAGAAAAATTAGGCTCCATACCTTTGCTGTCAATTTCAATCGCGGTCTCCTTCCTGCTGACAGTACCGCTACCCTCCGCAGTGTCCGGCAAATCTCAAATCTCGATGAATTTATCTGGACATAAGTTGGTTCTACTTTCTACCTTCAGATGAAGCTGGTGCGGGTACACTGCACTTTCCATAATGCTGTAGTAAAATTTCGGGTTTTCCTGACTTTCCCAGAAGGCAGTTCAAGCGTTCAAATCTGAAATGAGCCTTCTCATTCTACAGAAGGTGTATGAGAAAAAATTGCTGGTCATATGTTTCCATATAAAGTTATTAAACTTATAATGGTAATCATCAAAAGTGAAGTAGCTGCACGTAAAAAAGTTTTCATGCACCTCCTCCAAAAAAAAAGAACATTTTCTTGCACCTTCTCCAAAAAAGAAGTGGCCGAAAGATGGATAATTACCGACTTGCATTCATTTTCATGTGTTATGTCGTTTTCATCGCATACAGGACCGCTGGCATACGTACATTCAACATCGCAATCTTCGGCTTTCCGCTCATTTTCCGTACATTCACCGTCATGCACCTGCGAGCAGCAAACATACCAATACGGTCA